CCAGCATTTTTATATATGCAATAAAATTGAGGACATCCTTGTTTGTCTACTTCCAGGTTTATCCACCAGATTTTCTCCTAGTCTCATTCATTGCATTCAGAAAATTCCATCCAGGAACACTTTAAAGAATATAGTTAATACAAAAACTAATTAATGGCAACAAGTGACATGGTCGAGAGAAAAGCTTGCTTCCCCTCACCCCTTCTTACTGAAGAAGATTCAGAATTAAAAGTAGTCAGTTGTAGCTGGATCATGCTTCTTCTTACACCTCATGCCCAGCTGCCTTCAGGGACATCTCCCATCCCTTCAAATGAAATGTAACATTTCAAATTTATCATGTAACATAAGCCACAAAATGCAATGAATGTAATCCAGCAGTAGAGTACAAAATTCTAGTTTATGCCAGATTAATGGATTTTTAGAACTTTAACTGGATGGTGAAGATGAGACAGAATAGAAATATGTATAATTAAATCAATAAATAATAAATTGGCTTAATATTTGACAAAAAGGAAGAAAGATATACTAAAAATAGACTGGACAGATCAAAATGAAACTTGTGGCATTGAAGAAATCCTCCTCCATACACCATCCTGAAATATTTATTTCAAAATAAATCTGATCTCAGCAAATTTTATTTTCAAATATGTGTATTAGATTCAGCTTAAACTGTATTAAGACAATTTACAATCTTATCCTGCAAATCCTTATTAGCTACACCAACAGTTGAAAATCAAGCAACAGTTTCACAGGAGTATTTAAAGCACCATCTTACATTTTAAGAGGAAAGGGACTAGTTTAACTGCTAATCTCCAGTTGAAGGCCAAGGATTTGTTTGCTTACTTCTCTCATCTAAGAGGCTTGAAAAAGCACCTACAACCAAAGATTACTATCAAAGCTCTCTGAATCATAACTAACATTAATAGGATAAAGAGGCTCTGCTATAACATAATCAAAGTTATTTATATTTTAAAGGGGGAAGCACAGTTGCTTCAGTGAATAAACTTAGAGTCACGAGCAGCTCAAGAAATGCTACTTCCATTTCCTTATCTAGGAGACAAGCATCGCAGATGTCTATTTCACTACCAGTGAAAGGACCATTCAGTTCATGATAAGAACAGCTGCTCTTAGACCTCTGGCTTGTGGGACCAGGCTGCACATGAAATGAAATTGTCCTTGTACGTCTAAGCATCTACTAGTTTGCCAATTTCAAAGCATATGAATAATTTTGATTGTACCATTTTCAAGGGTTTATCTCAGAAAAGAATGTTCACTTTTTGGAACTCATTTACCAGGTAAATGGATCTGAGTGGGATTTGTGGCAGAAAAGGGAATATCTGCAGGGAGAAAGTGGAGAGCTAGTATTGTGCTGAGTCAAGAAAAGTGCCAGTTCTCCGTTTTGTTGCAGAACCTACTAGGCAGTAGTTTCAGCATCAGGCTGGATCCATTTTGGAGGGGAGATGGATTGTGCTTCATGTTCCACAGAGTGGGGATTCCCTGAAGGTAAAGGAGGCCCCATGTGGTTTCTGCAGCCCCGTACATGATACCCTTGCCCGCACTAATATTCCATGAGACCATCAATCAATCAATCTCTCTCTCTCTCTCTCTCTCTCTCTCTCTCTCTCTCTCTCTCTCTCTCTGTGTGTGTGTGTGTGTGTGAGGGAGGGAGGAAGAGAAGGAAAGAGACAACAAAATTCCATTCAGAGCTGCTTCAGAGTCTGAAACAGCTCCAGATGACACAGTTTTTATTAATTTATTTTTAATTTTCTCAGTTTTGGCTCTGATGGTGTCAGTAGCGCCTTCTGCCAGCTTCACTTGGCAGCTCAGGTACACCTCTATCTGGACATGGATAAACCTGCCTTCAATAAACTTTGTTCTGGTAATCTCTAAATTAGATAACTGCGAAGCACTCCTTGAAGGTAGTTCAGGAGCTGCAGCTCATGCAGAATGCAGAAGCCTGGTTATTAACTGGGACCTGTAGGTCCAAGCATATAAGACCAGTTCTGGCCCACTAGCATGGGCTGCCTGTATGCTTGTGGACTTAATTCAAGGTGTTGGTTTTAATCTATGGAGCCTAACAGGGCTTGTCAAAGTGCCTGTCCCAACAACAATCCACTTGGATGCTATGTCAACTTCTCAGGCCTTTCTCTGGTTGTCATCTCCTAAGGAGGCTCAGAGAGCACCATCAAGGTGGGAGGCTTTCTCTGTGGTGGCCGCATCTATAGAACAGCCACCCTCCTGTGGCCTGCCTGGCACCCATTTTGTGCCAGGTTAATGTGTCCTTTAAAGTTTTGTTGGCTATTCAGGGACTTGAGCAGATGAAACACCCCAGGGGTTTAATTTCACATGGTCATTCTTCACTGTATGCTTTAGCTGTTGTAAACAGCTAAAATAGAAACTTATTATTAACAATCGCGAAAGCAATAATAATAATGCTTATTTAATAATATTTATTTTTGTCTTGTTTGTATGGATTGTTCTAAATTGCCCAGAGAGCTTTGGTCATGGGCAATAAAGAAATGAAATAAATCATAGTCATAATATAATAATGATGGGCCCAGTACACAAGATGGTGGGGGATCGGCAAGCAGGCAGGTTTCCCAGGTTTGGATCCATCCCTTCTGTTCCTCTTGAAATCTGTTTAAGGCATCACGTCTGGGTATCCTTCAATTGCTGTTTTCTTGTTGCTTCTTCCTCTCTCCCCAACTCGGGGTTACCTCATCATAATCATAATCTTTTCAGATGTCTGCATTTATTTGGAGGGAGGAGTGGTTTTGCGGCAGTCGGCCCCACCTCTGTCATAGCATCTGAAGTAGATGGCTCTATACATCCATATAATGCCTCCCTACCAAACTTTCCTAATTAATGGGTATCCCTGGTGCCACTGTAAAGACACACGCCATAGGATTTATTCCATGTGAATGAACTTCACATGGACATTGGAAAAGGGCTTTTGTATTTCACACCAGGGTATGAGCAGCCTGCAGCTGTGAATCAAAAGATGCAAAACATTCATGGATCATGACAAAAAAAATTAAGAGTAGACTAGATGCATGAAGTATAGAAATCCCATTTCTGTTGCATTGCTTAAAGGAAGTCTCCCCACCCTGCCGCCCGAGAGGCCCTTCTAGACTAGTAGAATGCATCCTGTTCTTGAGTGACAATGACTGTAATCTGTGAATCACCAAAATAGTTCATTGACCTGTACTTTATCCAGTACAAAGTGCTATATATTTAGTACAGAAAGACATTGCTTGTAAAAATGTCAAGAACTGACAAATCACTGTTGTTATTCATAGGACTTATTCCAAGGAAGAAAGAAAAAAGGACCTTCATCACTGTTAAGGGGACCTCCAACTTAACGCCTCCATGAATTCTGTTTTGCAGTGCCGTTTATAAAGCAGAATAGTTCCAGACAATGAAGAAAGTAATAAGTGTTTAGGAGGGATAAGGAAAGGAGTCAGTTTCTTTTTAAATTTGGTTTCCAAGACAGAACAATATGAGATATTTTCCAATAGAAATGCTAACAAAGGACACAGGTCCTGCAGTAACAAGCATGAAAATGGCCACCTGGGATAGCAATCATATAGAAGAACTGGAGAAATGCTACTGTATTATACCAAGGATGTCATTGCTGATAGTACTGCAAAATATCTTTTAGCTGACACATCACACTATACACTGCAGTTTTGAAAACCTCCTATGTGCAGAAGGATGATGGCGTTACACTCTTCCTCCCTGTTCAGAAGAACCATCCATGCCTGTTGGCCCAAATGTTTGCATGGGATCTATGTATGATGGCCTGAAATAGATTCCCAGAATATAAATGGCATGTCAATTTCATGATTTGGGCTATGTGTGACCAATTTTTTACATGGAGGCTCTGTGTACACATGGTACCCACAAATTTATGCCTCATGGGTTCTGAGGTCAGGCAGGCATTCTCACAGTAGTGGGCATGACTCCTCCATACGTACCTTGGAAGCAACCTTGAAACCGTCTTTGACCTGAGGGCTTGCAATTCATATTTAAAAGGCAGGTCAAGCACTGGGAATGCATCAGGGACCTATAATGAATTTGCACTGTGGGAAAGCCAAGTCCTCTTGCATTCTATAGCTCAATCATTGTGGAAGATTTCCATCATAATATGTTTAGCTCAGTAAAATTGCTGGTATGGCTGAAATAGCAATTGCAGCATTTGTGTATGGAACCTTATCCACCATGGCTTTTTAGAGATAACCTAAGCCCTACCAAAGATGCTGATCAGTCAGAAGAAGCTATCATATTGGATAGAATGATGAGGTAAACAGAAGTTTGCTAGTATCTGAGTATCATCCTCTGAAATAAATCCTCTTCTTGTTGTCCATTCATAAGTATTACTGGTTGCAACTAGATTCATCTCTCTTCATGATAGGTTTTCCTTCTTTGATTATCTTTCAGCTTTAATGCTGACCTGACTTGGATTTGTCACTAGCGTCCGGTTCTACTGCTGAAATCCTACATGTTGTATCTTGGGAATAACTTTACTTACTTGGGAGTAAACAAGCATAGGATCAGGCAGCCAATATATTTGCTATGTCGGTTAATCTTTCCCAGGCTGTCCTTCAAGATTTACTGTGGCTGGTTTCTGCAAGACTGCTTGGCTGTTTTGTGGTCTTTCTTTTTAATCCCTTTCGGAAGCAAAAGGAAGGGAGCCAAACTATTCCTGCTTCAGTACGTAAAACTGCACACACCATTTAGCTTTCCAAACATGTAGCAGTATAGCCAAGTTCAAATATTTCTATGTGATACAATTCACTATCCCTTTGAAAGAAAGAAAAGTGCTGAAAAGTGTGCTCAAAACAATTTACTGGGTTTATCTTAAAGCACTGTATAGATGTCAAATCTAAAACAGTTACATTTTCCTTAACCCCATCTCCTGATTTTTAAATCATGTATTTATTTATTTTTACCATACATGGCAAATGAAATGTTAAGGATACAAGGTTAATGGTACTTACTCCTGTTATGTAGCGTGGTCTATACTGGATGGTTCCAAATAAGCCAAGTATGACTATAATAATGTGTACAAAATTTGCCAGGATTGGTGCCCACTGATAACCAAGGAAATCAAATATTTGTCTCTCCAGCACACACACCTAGGATTAAACAGCAACAATGATTTGATTAGAATTTCTCAAGGAAAAATGAAAGAAGAAAAGAAAAGAAAAGAAAAGAAAAGAAAAAGAAAGAGCAGGTGGGCTTTGACACGTAGGTTCTTTTTCCCTTCTTCAATACCACCACTAGAAGCTTGCTATAGTACTTCAGGAAGCAAAAATGAATAAGGCAGGGGAAGAAAGAGGGATGGCTTTGCAACAGCTCTGTCCTTTTGTTTTCTGAAAAAGAATGGCTTTTGTAGTGACAGCCCATTGAGTCATACTCAACTAAAATATGTATGTGCGCAGTTTTGCCAAGATATGAATTCCTGTTCATTCCTGAAAAGGGCACGGCACTGCCAGTGTAGCTACTTATAGCTGCTAGAGTTCTACATTAGGGCAAATGGCTGGTTTAGGGACCCATGGCAGGCTTAAGTTACACTTTGCACCAACATTTCTCCTTCTAACACAACTCCTATTGAGGAAGACTCTCGTGCTTTACTCCATATGAATTTGTTAGGAAATTCCCCATGGACCACTTTATATGTAAGTAAGGTTAAGACTGCTGGTGCAATTAAAATTTAACAGGTAACATAAAAGGACACACATTGTTTTATAATCCTAATTTATATATGTGCAATCTCAGGACCAATCTTTACATGATGCCATTCACATACCTAGCAATGGTGAGAAGTTTAAAGCCATGGTCTTTAAAAGTAAATTGTACATGCAGGGGGTTGAGATACCGACGGGGAGCTTGATATGTTGGGCTAGGGACCTTTAGTCCATTGCCTCCACTACTATCTTTACCCAGATTAGCACCCCCATCCCCCAGTCTGGCTATTTGCATGAGGGCAGGACTCCCCCCACAGGAGCAAACAGGCATGAGGGACTGATTTAGTTCAGAACCACTGCATGAAGTTAAAGCCATCTACCCACAGTTCCAAGATCTCAATCTAAATTGGGAAGCTGGGGATAGGAATGCAATTCACCTTGCAGGCCCATCCAGTTCACACAGTTGCTAACACTGTGAATGGAATCTCATCAAGTAATTCTTTCACCTTCTTTCAGAGGTAATTTCCATTGTTCCTTTTCAGCTGGTCATGTTTTTAAAATTGGTATGGAAACGAACAGAAAATGGCAGGAACTGCATTTATATTTTAATGAAGAGAGAAAGGTCAGACCCATGAATGACACACATGAAGTCAGAAGTTGCCCTAGACTCCTACACCCCATAATTAGGCATGCGAATTCAATCATCCTTTGTGATACTGAAAGAGATTCTGGGATCTTTGCATTCTGCTTTAGTGAAACTCTCTGGAAATAAGCATTGTTATTCTTAGTGGCAATGTATACATTTCCAAGATTTTTCCCTATAAGGTTCCCCCACTGTCCTGTATTGTCAGACTTGACACCTTGCTTACGCAATCAGTTCACAGAAAAATTGCTTATGAAATAAAAAGTTAATCCTTAAGACCTTTGTTCTTGGAAATGCAGGCGCTCTTGGGAGAAGCGAAAACCAACTTTTCATAAAATTGTCAAACAAGGCTTGAATAGTTATGCTTTAGCTGTAAAGTTGAAACCATTCTGCTCCACCTGCTTGATGGACAGTAATGCTAATATAAATGACCATAGGCCTGGTGGTTTCTCCAACAGCAGTAGAAGCCGTAGTTCAGCCATGAACAACTATCACAATGGGCTAAATTATAGTGCACACTTATCTTATTCTTTAAATATCTATTAAATACTTTGTATTTACCCTAATGTACTTTGTAAATACCCTAATGTACTTTGCAGGACTGTTCTAAGAATAAACTGAAGAGGAGGAAGAAGAGGATCATACAAGCCACCTTGGGCTTCTTGCAAAAGGAGAAAAAAAATGTTGCCCTGGTTATGGGCAGTACGACTTTTGGGGATTCCTAGAGACTGATATGCCAATTGCAGGTTTACTAGGAAGGAGATTATGTATTATTGCAATAATGTCAAACAGTAGCTAGACTTCCAATACATTTAGAAGCAAGCCACTTACACTGTGCAGCAGGGACCCTTGCAAGGTAGAATTCCAGGCAGGTGGGTTCAGAAAGAGTCAGCAGAATACAGTACTAACAGTACTTGAAAACAGTACTAACCAGACCAGAAAGAAAATGGCTAGCTTATATAGATTACTGACCTTTGGTATCAAATGCATGCGTAAAGCATTCTACACAATTAAAAGATACGATTACTGGAATATTTCTGATACTACTGTTTATACAGGCACTAAGAAATAATGACGTACAATGGGCTAGTAAGGAGTAGTCCTGTCTGGATCACCAAGGTCCATCTCTGTCTGACATCAAAGCATAGGCTCATGACTGTCTTTTGTCAGCAGAAGCAATGGCTGATAAGGAACATTCAAGGTTGCAAATGTGCAGTGTGTGTGTTGTTTGTGCCATCTTAATATCAGAAAGGAAACACCTTAGTTCTATGAAAGCAGACTTAGTTCTATGAAAGCTAACCAAAATTCTATTTTGTAAGCAGGAAACAAGATTTAATGACAGGTGAAACAAGCATTTTAAATAGCTAGGGCCCCGCCTGGCCTTTTAGGGTACAGACCTGCCACAAAAGTTGGATGAAAATGTAATAATAAAATTCAGAAATTAATATATCCACTAGCACTGTCACTTCTGGCCCAGTCCTGAGAATAACGGTTCTATCATGAAAAAGATGACAACTATTCCAGTACAGTTTCTGAAGATACAAAATCCAAGAAAATTTGAGGAGTTACCCAGAAGCCACTAAGTGGGAGAAATGAAGGCAACTTCTCCAGAAAAGGGCACTGGTAGCAATGCCCCTTCCTGGGATGGAGCAGCTTGTTTTCTGCTGCTCTGGGTAGAAGGAAACCTTCCTTTATGCTAACTGGCAGGAAACAAAGAGTGTGAGTGGGGGCAAATGTGGTGAAATCTCTGTCCAAGGAAAGCCATTCTTGCGGTGAAAAAAGAGCTGTGGGATAGGTTGAAAAAATGCAACTTTTAATGCATCTATGAATGTAGTACAGGAAGCAAGCTCTAGTACACAAAAGCTTCCTCTAAAGCAATTTTTTAAGGGTGCTACAAGTCTGTTGTTAGTTTGCTGCAACAGACTAACAAACATGGTGGCTCTTCTTCAAATCGCCGTAGTTTGCTTTTCAGACTGCAACTGGGTTTCTAATCACTATATATTACTGCATTTCTATTGCTTTTAGATTTACCTTATTTAAATGGTAAAGTAATGACCCATATGAACGCTTGTTTATAATTTCAGTTTTGAATGGAACCTTCCATACTACCATTGTTCAGCAAGCATATATCTCTATGATTTATTGGTGGACATGGGACTGGAAACAGCTCTACCCAGCACATGACCAAACATATAAACATAGCAGTTTAGATACTTTTGTAGGTGTTGGAAAGGATGCAGTCTTGTGTTGCTAGAATAAGATGAAGGGAAACTGTAGCACTGTACACTACTGTTCTCATTTCAAATGTGAAACCAGATATAGTAGAATTCATCTTGCCCACTCCTTTCAAAATGTTTATATAAAGAAATGAAGCTTAAAGCTTGCTTATTTCAATTTAATCCCACTGACTTCAAACTAGGAGTTCAAACAGATTTCAGATATCTGGAGAAGTAAGTAAGAGGTTTTTTACCCAAGATTCCTATCAAGAGAATAAGCACAATTCTTGGAAACATTAAGTACTATAGTTCACATTAACAGTGCTGGTTGGAGGTCAATGGTGCTGATGAGGTGGAGGGCAGAGTTACCAGAAGTAGAACCAAGGGTAGTCACTATCATCACCAGCACAGTGAACTTTCTTTTGAATTCCTGGCTACCTATATCACAGAAAAAAAAAAGATGAAGGTGAAATTGAAACTGTACAGTATGTCATGGGGACAACATGTGTGTGTGAGGAGGGCTCAGGGGATTGTTTCCACACAGCCACATGAAAGCTTTTCTTGGTACCACATTCTCCTGTTCTATGTCTATTGCAGAGTCAAGTGCCTATAATATTATGAATCCAAAACAGTGGAAAGGCAAGAATGTTGTTGTTATTCTGTTGCGGAAGCAGAGAATGTCTGCAAAACCCAGTGCGCAGGATATAATGCAATAACAACTTTATTTCCATACAGAAAGCACCCCCTGAAACCAACAGCACATTTTGAGAGCATCCACTCTTTGTACGTTCACCACAATGCATCATCCAAACTACCTCTCTGCGTGTCTGTTCAGAAATAATAGAAACTGCACAATACAAAAATCCCTCTTTTCCATGTTGACTCTAGAGGAAGAAGGACTACATTTCTTGGACATAAGCATGAGGGAGCATATCTAGAGAGCTGCATGGTGAGGGTGGATAATAATGAAGGTTTGAGATGGAATTGGACAAAGGACAACACAGAAGACTTTAAAAAAAGACCAACACTTCCAGAGAGAGAGAGAGAGAGAGAGAGAGAGAGAGAGAGAGAGAGAGAGAGAGAGAGAGAGAGAGAGAGAGAGAGAGAGAGAGAGAGAGAGAGGCTTTACAAATACATTGAAAAGGCATTCCTCCCAGGCACCAAAAAGAAATGGAAGAAATGTTGTTCACTGCAACCCTCTCTGGTTTACTGATTTGTACCTGGAAGAGACTTAAGGGCGCAGGACAGTGGGAGGCAATGTTGAACAGTGCATAAATGTTAGCATAGTTAGAATAATGCATGTGAGTTAGCATAACTCTGTTGGCACAATAGGACTGTTGCCCTGACTGCAGTTCTCTGTGCCAACAAAACATTTGTTCTGGAGGGTTCCCAGGCCTCTGGAACAGATTTGGCGCATGGGGCCTGAGGAGAAATGGCCCCTTTCTGGTTTCACTGCTTCTAGAAGTGCAATGGTGCCCATTCAGTCCATTCAATCCAGTGCATGCAGATTCCATGAGTTGATCAGAGTTGCAGTTGTAATATGAACATTACAAAAACACAGAGGAGAGATGCATACTCTGTGCTTATGC